CAAAACAAAACAAAAAAAACCCTTTATCATCTTCATGTACTGCTGTAGATTTTTTTCCCCCCTAGTCTAACCTTTCCCTAAAGTTTAGTTCTTTGTGGGGGATGCAGGGTGTTGGAGTTATCCACGGTATTTTTAGGAAATTTCATGAATATACAGCTTTCAGGGCTGTGATTTAGCTCACTGGTTCCACTGCCTGTCTTGCAAGCTCAAGGTCCCAAGTTTGATCCCCAGTACCCCCCAAAAATATATGTCTTAATGTGTTTATTACTCTGTTATATGTATGTACTTTAATTTCTCCCTTATTGTTCATTCATTCTGCAATATTTCAGTGCATGTTATGTGGTAGGCACTGATTTATGCACTAAGAGTACCACAGTAGAAAACACAAAATCTTGTCATTTTAGGTATTTTTAGATATTGTAGGAAATTTTGTTAAATTTTTGTCAATTGTAAGCAATTTACAATGATCATTCTTATGGGCAATTTTATCATATATCTTTCATATGGGATATTGAGATATTTCACTTTTTGTAATAGAACAAAACAACAGTAATCAGAGTTCAGGTTTGTCAAAACTCACCGTGTCTTGGTGACATAGGTTGACAGAAACCTATAGCACCGTAACATTTTTCTCTTATAAGGTATTCCACAATACAGAGACATTGTCAGTTCCCTAAGAAAAAAGAAGGAGTTTAAAAAGTCATAGTATGTAATTTAAAGTAATGAATCACCAAGGGAGTTATATTCTAAGCCAGGATAGGATCACTTTGCAATACTAAGGAAAGAGAAACTAAATAGGAGTCAGATGACTAGGCTTCTCCATTGTATTTCCACTATTAACTAGCAGTGGGCTCTCGAATTCTCAGTACTTCTTTCCAAATCAATAAAACTGAAATCTGTTCTGCCATGCTAATAAGGTGTGAGAATCGGGCCAGGGATCTAGCTCAGTGGTGTTGCCGCCTGTCTCACAAGTGCAAGGTCCCAAGTTCGATCCCCCGGTAACCCCCCCCCCACAAAAGCTATAAGAATCATGACGTTATTCTCTAAAATGTAGACTCCTTCCTCATATTGTAGATTTGTTAGCAGGAATTGGCTGCCAAGCCAAGGCCTCCATCTCCTTTGTATCTAAGTAGGGAAGTGATGTGTATACCTTCTGGGCTGAACCAATTAAGAAGGAGGTGTAAGTTGGGTATGGTGGCACACATTTATAATCCTGTAGCACTCTGGGAGGCTGAGACTGGAGAATAGCAAACATGGGGCCAGCCTAGGCAATTTAACAATTTAGTGGGGACCTGTCTTAAGATTTTAAAAAGGGCAGGGTATGTAGCTCATTGTGAAGGCCCTGGGTTCAATCCCCAGTACCAGGAGGAAAAAAAAAAAAAAAAAAAGGAGGGTGGGATGTACCTTATTCACCATTTTTTCCCTGCTTTTTGGAAGATTCCAAGAGAAACAATAGAGTTATTAGATAGAGAATGTTGCATCCTTAACTCACGCATGGAGAAAAGCCACCCACCAACCAAAGACCCTCTTCACTGGAGTATTTCTTAGTAAAACGTCTGTCAGGTTAGTTGGGAGGAGTAGCTCAGTGGTACTGTGTTGCCTGGCATGCACAAGGTCTTGGTTCAATCTCCAGCACCACAAAAGATAATAGAAACTTCTACTATATTAAGCCACTGAATTTTAATTTTAATTTTATGTTTTGGGGCTGGAGATTGAACCCAGGGCCTCATGCATATTAAGCATGTGCTCTACCACTGAGCTGTACCCCCAGCCCCTGGCTACTGAAATTCTAAAATTTGTGTTTCAGCAGCTAGTGTTACTGTAACAAATAGATCAAGTAATAAGCCTGGGATATCTCCAGAGTAATGGGGCCAAGTTTCTTGAAGTAGATACAAACCAACATAGCTCTGAGAAGTAGATGGAAATCTGTTTGGTAAGAAAAATTTTAAATCATAGCCATTAAGAAAGTATTTCAAAAGACAGCTATGAAATTCATATGGATCCAAGAATTTTTTTGATATTTTTTCTAGCTCACTAGGAAAGAAAAAATATCTGTCTGAAGAATTCATTGTGCAGAAGATGGTTTCTTTCTTTTTTAAGTGGTGCTGGGTACTGTACCTGGGGCTTCACACCTGCTAGGCAAGCGTTGTACCACTGAGCTATATCTTGATCCCAGTGGTTCCTTTTATTTATTTAGGTTTTTTGAGACAGGGTCTCACTATGTAGTTGAGACTGACCTGAAACTCACTATGTAGCCCAGGCTGGTCTCAAACTCAGAGAGATCCTCCAGTCTCAGTTGCCTAAGTGCTGGGATTAAAGGTGTGAACCACCACGCCCAGCCCAGTGGTTTCTTTTAATTTGTCTGTTGGTAAGCATTTTATCCCCTGTGAAAAGTGCCTTTCACATTAGCAGTAAAAAGTCAAGAAATTCTACTGAAACTGTGAAAAAAAATCAGTACAGTTAAATAACTAACCACCCTTTAACTGTGCCCAACAGAAGCAAGCTTTGACATTAAACTACCAAGGGAATATCTGAATTTTAGGCCTATTTTTTGGTTGCATAATTATGAGTCACTGATGACTAATCCCTGAAAAGTTTTGGCTGCAATCTGTGTGCTAGGAAGGGTAAAATATATTTAGCAAATGAGAGTCAGCAAACTATTTATTGGCTACTGACTTTAGGCAACGGCTCTTAAGGAACATAGACAATGTAAAGAATGAAAATACCTTCCTCAAGGTGAAAAATCCCTGCCTAGCAGGTGAGAAGAAAACAAATATATAACTTTCACAGAAAACTATATGTGATTTGTAGGCTGCAAAGTACTCTAAGGCAGTATTAAAGGTATAATACCTATTTTTTTAATTAAAAATTTTTCTACTTAAACTCAGAGTCTTTATTCAAAAGTAATTTAGTAATTTTCAAATACTGGAAAAAACTCATATCTATTAGCTAATGCATGGATAAACTCATAGTGGTACATCCATACAATGGAATATTACTCAGCAACAAACAGGAATGAATAACTTTATAAAATGTAGTAATACAGATGTCCTCAAGTACTTTGTGTTAAGTGAGATAAACCAGATGCAAAACATTCTATTCATATTCTAGAAAGTCCAGATTTAACTGATAAAAAGTAGATTAGGGTTGACAAATATCAGGAGTCAGGACAAAGGAGATTTTATTAATTTTTTTGAGACAGAGTCTCACTGTGTAGTCCAGGCTGGCCTTAGATTCAGCATTTCTAGTAGCTGGGATCACAGGCATGCAACACCATGCCCAGCCAAGCATAAAACCTATTTTTTACTAATCCTAGGACTTGTATGGTATATTGAAAAAAATGCATTTAAAGTCATATTTCTAGCTCATCTATAACTCAGAAAATGTAAATTGGTACATATTTTGGAGATTAATTTATGGATACCTGTTAAAATGTTAAATAAGCACCCCTTTCACCCAATGATTCTACTTCTAGAAATTTTTTTCTAGGAAGTAACCAGTATGTACAAAAATGTTAATAAACTGGGCAAGATGGTCCACACCTATAATTCCAATACTTGGGAAGTTGAGGCAGGAAGACCATGAGTTTGAGGCTAGCCTCAGGTGTGTAGCAAGTTCAAGGCTGGCCTGTACTACATTGCTAGATCTGATCTCAAAACAAACAAAAACAAAAAAGGAATGTTAATAAAAAATATAAGTGGAATAATACACAGCTGATAAAAATAAATAGAAAATAATATAACAATGAAAAAACACACATGTATTTACAGAGAAAGTTATTTAGAATATATTATTAAGAAGCCAGGCATGGTGGCGCACGCCTGTAATCTCAGCACTCGGGAGGCTGAGGCAGGAGGATTGCTGTGAGTTCGAGACCAGCCTGGGCTACATAGTGAGTTCTAGGTCAGTCTCAACTACATAGTGAGACCCTGTCTCAACAACACCCCCTAAAAAAAGAACCTATTATTAAGAAAAGTACAGGGGATAATGGGGAGATGTTGGTCAAAGGATACAAAGTTTCAGTTATGATAAATTATTTCCAGAGATTTATTTATTGCATGGTGACTATAGTTAATAATAATGTATTGTGTACTTGAAAACTGCTAATATAATAAATGTTAAATGGCCTCACCACAATAAAATATGACCAGTATGTGAGGTGATAAATATCTAATCATTTCATAAAGTATGCATATATCAAAATATCACATTGTGCTAAATAAATACATACAATTTTTATTTGCAAATTATTCCTGGAGGAAAAAAGAAAAGCAAGCAAGCAATGGTTGGTCAGAATGATCTAATTAATTTATAATGAATAGGACATATACAAATATATTCTAATATATATAAATTAGTAATATTTTTCAAATACACATACTAAACTACTGTGACTAAGTTGGGATAAAGGGAAATGTAGTTTGAAAGGAGGAACTTGTGATTTTTTTACTTTATTATTTTCTATATTTAAAAATTTAAACTATAAATACATATTATTTTTAAGATAAAAGAAAGTGTAAGAAAAGAATAATTCCTAGGACTAACTGTTCAATAAGGCTTTCTTTTTTTTTTTTTCCTTTGGTTCTAGGGGATTACACTTGTGAGGCAGGCGCCTGAACCACTGTGCTAAATTCCCAACCCCTCAGTGAGGTTATTTCTAAGTCACTATTCCCAGAAACACCTTAACATGTTTCCCATGAGCCACAAGAAACTCCTTTGGTGAGTTCTTGGATTCTGGGAACTGTAAGAGCTATTTGGTTGTAGTTTGGCTGTAACTACTGACTAATATGTATGGTCCACTGTATGGCTGCCCGTTGTTTCATCTATAGAAACAAATTGCTTCTACTGCTAAATTAAGCTTAGTTATTTGTGGATTATCATGGCCTGAGCTATTTACGTTTTTTAAAAGTACAAAGTCTGATGGGTTATGAAAGGTAATATTATCTAAAATTTATACAGTAAATGATGAAGCAGGGTTCTTAAGATTAAGTTTCTCAGAACCCTCTGTAAATACCATAAATGATTCACACACATTTCTTGTCCTGTTCATTTTGACAGAAGGATTATTAAGTGGCACGATTAAGCATGAAAAAAAAAAAAAAGTGAAAAAAGTTCACCTCTAACCTTCATGGTTAACTTTCTCTATGAAGAAGTGAGGTTCTCATTCATTTCGTGGAGCTGTTTTGAGATTCCATGTTTCCGTGACTGTGGACAATGGAATAGGAAAGTATGCACAACTGAGGAATCACTGAAATACAGATTTCAAGGTTTTTGTGACCTTGCTTATATGAAAAACTCTATGGTTTGTATTGTAAAAGATAAGTTTTCCTCCCTTAATCCTTGTAGGGGACAAAGATTGTTAAAGCAAAAGGTAAGAAGTTAATAAATACCATTTAGTTTTAGTTAATGAGATAGCTCCACAAGAGCAAAACTGGTCATTCTGGTTTTTACAAAAGAGAAATGAAACTAAGCTAAAACTGAAAAACGCTGTAACTGAGAGCTTTTGTCAAGTTCAATTATAACTCCCTCCCTGAATTTAAAACCTGAATAGGTTTCTGTTTCACTGTACTCACTCTGAATTCTTTGGGGGGTGAATTGCTAGGCCTCAAGAATCAGCAAAAACCAGGAAACACCAAATGTTCAAGTTTAAACTGTTTTCCTTTCCCAGCGGGAGCATGGCTGTTTCTGCCACACTTCCCAGAATTCTAAAAGACACATTCTGGGAAATGTAATTTAATCTTTATGCTGGCTAACATTAACTACAGTCATTAAAAGCATACTTCTGCCACACTTCCCAGAATCCTCCTAGAGAAGCACTCTGGGAATAGTAGTTCAGTCCCCAGGCTTGATACTGTGTCCTCCAACTGCAAAGTTTACCATGACTATCAAATGCATGAGCATCTAAGATCTTTTTCTTTTTTTCTTTCTTTTTTTTTTTTTTTAGTTTATTGCTACTTTTTAAGTATACAGTACAGTTGCATTCATCATTGTCTAAGATCTTAATATTAAGAAAAGTACTATGGGGCTGGGGATTTAGCTCAGTGGCACTTCACCTGCCTTGCAATCGCAAGGACCCAAGTAAAAGAAAAGTACTATGTCTTTGGAAAAAGTGGCATTAGATAGATTTTTAGTAACAAAATGATAAAAGCATTAAATCCATCCTCATATACAGAATTCATATATTATCAGGATGCATAAAGGAGGCTCTTTCCATTTTAGAACTAGCTCTAACATTTCATGAAACTGGCCAATTTAAAAGGACAGGAAAACTTCGTGTGTTTGAGCTTGTGGTAGAATTCATGCCTTGATCAAGGGAAAAGCCCTCCATCTAACTGAAATCAGTCCCCCAGTAAATCTACTTTGGTGCTGTCCTGTTCTTTTCTTACTACTGAAGCTGCTGGCCAACTTCTTACTGCTAAACTCATTCAACATATATTTAATGAACCTGAGACTCTTAAATGCACAGGATACACGAACATTTTTGTCCCTATGTGACTTATATTCTACAGGAGAAGACATACAAATAAATGAATAAATATACAATTTGCCAAGTGGTTAGAAGTCATAGGGGGAAAAATAAAACAAGAGAATTGATTTTGCCATTTTGTACAGGATGGTCAGCCTCACTGTTAAGATGATATTTGAGTAGACTCTGAATGAAGAACACAGGAAGTAAAACTTCCTGATATGTATGGAAACTGATAGCTATGAAAAGAGATTTGTAGACAAAACAAAATGAGTACTGTACATACAAAAGCTTTGGGGTGGGAATATGCCTGGCAGATTTGAGCAAATGCTAGGACAGAGCACTGTACAAGAGATGAGGTCAAAGAGTAGTCAGGCATTAGATCATAGAAGGTCTCATAATTCTTACATTCTTATAAAGCTGTTGTGATGATTTTGATGACTTTTTCTTGGAGAAAGATGATATTACTAAAGGGCATAAGCAGGAGAATGAGATGATCTGATACACCTTTTTTTTACGTACTGAAGACCTTCATAGTGAACTATATTCCCAGCCATATATATATATATATATATAGGTACATTTTTTTTCACTGAGTTTATTGGTACATTTTAGGTATACAGTACAGTTACATTCATCATTGGGATTTTGTACCTTTACATGACAGGTCTTGGTTCT